ACAGCACACCACACTTCTTGGCATTCCTCTTTTGTTGTGTCCATACTTCTTGCAACTACTGCAGAAATTACCCATGCTATCAAAGAAGATGTCTCCATTGATCATCCCCAACTTGTGGTAGCCTTCCTTAAAGTTCACAAAAAAACAATGCGTAACATTTGCCAAACTCATTCTGAAATTTGACCATGGATCTTCCATTCAAACAAAAAAAGGCAATGTCCACTACTGTACAGGGGGGAAAGTACACTTTTACCACCACAATTCCTTCCTTGTAATGTAGAATAATCTTCACTACTTCCAAATTCTTGTCCTCACAACTCCTCTAGCCATGGACAGCAAGTCTCAGTAAATTTCTTCCACAACCAATACAACATTGAAGACCCTCCACTTCTGATAATCTAGCAAGGTCAAAATGTACTATTTCTGGAACAACATCCTATGGACAGATGAGACCAAGATCAACTTGTACCAGAGTGATGGGAAGAGAAGAGTATGGAGAAGGAAAGGAACTGCTCATGATCCTAAGCATACCACCTCATCAGTGAAGCATGGTGGTGGTAGTGTCATGGCGTGGGCATGTATGGCTGCCAATGGAACTGGTTCTCTTGTATTTATTGATGATGTGACTGCTGACAAAAGCAGCAGGATGAATTCTGAAGTGTTTCGGGCAATATTATCTGCTCATATTCAGCCAAATGATTCAGAACTCATTGGACGCCGCTTCACAGTGCAGATGGACAATGACCCAAAGCAGACTGCAAAAGCAACCAAAGAGTTTTTTAAGGGAAAGAAGTGGAATGTTATGCAATGGCCAAGTCAATCACCTGACCTGAATCCGATTGAGCATGCATTTCACTTGCTGAAGACAAAACTGAAGGGAAAATGCCCCAAGAACAAGCAGGAACTGAAGACAGTTGCAGTAGAGGCCTGGCAGAGCATCACCAGGGATGAAACCCAGCGTCTGGTGATGTCTATGCGTTCCAGACTTCAGGCTGTAATTGACTGCAAAGGATTTGCAACCAAGTATTAAAAAGTGAAAGTTTGATTTATGATTATTATTCTGTCCCATTACTTTTGGTTCCTTAACAAGTGGGAGGCACATATGCAAACTGTTGTAATTCCTACACCTGATTTGGATGTAAATACCCTCAAATTAGAGCTGACAATCTGCAGTTAAAGCACATCTTGTTCGTTTCATTTCAAATCCATTGTGGTGGTGTATAGAGCCAAAAATGTTAGAATTGTGTCCATGTCCCAATATTTATGGACCTGACTGTATGAATAGTGACCTTTTTAGAAATATATCCCATAATTGAAGACTGTGGGGGTTAAATAGAAAAAAATCTGCCTATGTGCTTTAGGTGCACCTCTAAAGAATAGAGGTATAAAGTGGCCCCAAGAGACTCCTAAGGATGGGTTTGGGAAACAGAAAAAAATCCAAAGAGTTACTCCCAAAGCAGGAGGGTGGATGCAATGATCCCATGACTAGAGCCCTAGAATATATCAAGAAGGTTCTATCTACATCTTCCTACAACAAATATGTCAATTTTTGGTGGGTGAATCTGCTCTTTTGTATTAGTAAAAGGAAGCATTTAAAAAAAAAAAAAGGCGGGAAGCATGCCTATTTCTGTGGTTGCTTTGCTCAACAAAAAAATACATGCAAGAAAAAAAGCAAACGGAAAAAAATGGGTGCAAGACCAGATAAGTAATGATTCACCACGGTATAGTGAAAAAAGGAATGTCCTTGACACTAAGGATATATTCATATCAGCACTATGATTCTGTTAAAAAGCTTAAAGAAAATATTATCTTATATCATTTTTTTTTATATATTTTTGATATTTTATAAAGTATTTGAGCATTCATGAAGATTTTGTTGCATTTTTTCATTCTCACTGGGATATTTTATCCTTGATATTATAGATACCTAAAAGAAATTTCAAAGACTGAGATATTCATTCAAAATAAATAAGGCCAGTATTTAAGACGTTACAAAAAAAAAATACAAGGAAAGATTTTATATTTTGAGTTGGAGGGCTTCTGTTGAGCTCCATTGGCTTTAGTGGAAAGCAGGTGAGACCTGAGGAGTTTAAAAGTTTACCCTCAGCTTCTTTAGCAAGGCAGCGGTCATCTTGGAGGTGTGTTTGGGGTCGTTATGTTGGAATACTGCCCTGCGGCCCATTCTCCGAAGGGAGGGGATCATGCTCTGCTTCAGTATGTCACAGTACATGTTGGCATTCATGGTTCCCTCAATGAACTGTAGCTCCCCAGTGCCAGCAGCACTCATGCAGCCCCAGACCATGACACTCCCACCACCATGCTTGACTGTAGGCAAGACACACTTGTCTTTGTACTCCTCACCTGGATGCCGCCACAAACGCTTGACACCATCTAAACCAAATCAGTTTATCTTGGTGTCATCAGACCACAGGACATGGTTCCAGTAATCCATGTCCTTAGTCTGTTTGTGGGCTTTCTTGTGCATCATCTTTAGAAGAGGCTTCCTTCTGGGATGACAGCCATGCAGACCAATTTGATGCAGTGTGCGGCGTATGGTCTGAGCGAGGGGCGGACTGACAACTCATGGGGCCCCCGGGCAATAGGGGATCATGGCAGCGGTGTCCTTGCTCAAACTCAAAAAAGCCTATGAAAAAGGTACCAGGGGCATCTCATGGGGCCCCCTACTGACCCCGGGCCCCTCAGGCAGTGCCCAAGTTTTCAAATGGTCAGTCCGCCTCTGGTTTGAGCACTGACAGGCTGACCCCCCACCCCTTCAACCTCTGCAGCAATGCTGGCAACACTCATACGTCTATTTCCCAAAGACAACCTCTGGATATGATGCTGAGCATATGCACTCAATTTCTTTGGTTGATCATGGCGAGGTCTGAGTGGAACTTGTCCTGTTAAACCACTGTATGGTCTTGGCCACTGTGCTGCAGCTCAGTTTCAGGGTCTTGGCAATCTTCTTATAGCCTAGGCCATCTTTATGTAGAGCAACAATTCTTTTTTTCAGATCCTCAGAGAGTTCTTTGCCATGAGGTGCCATGTTGAACTTCCAGTGACCAGTATGATAGAGTGAGAGCGATAACACCAAATTTAACACACCTGCTCCCCATTCACACCTGAGACCTTGTAACAGTAAGGAGTCACATGACACCGGAGAGGAAAAATGGCTAATTGGGCCCAATTTGGACATTTTCACTTAGGGGAGTACTCACTTTTGTCAGCAGTTTAGACATTAATGGCTGTGTGTTGAGTTATTTTGAGGGGACAGCAAATTTACATGTTATACAAGCTGTACACTATGTCACATTGTAGGAAAGTGTAATTTCTTCAGTGTTGTCACATGAAAATGTGAGGGGTGGACTCACTTCTGTGAGATCCTGTATATATATATATATATATATATATATATATATATATATATATATATATATATATATAACATAGAAAATAAAGATATAATTAAAAAAAAAATATATATATATATAATCAAATTAAAGAAAACAGTGTACTGTATATAAAGTATATATATAAAAAAATTATATATATATATATATATATATATCTCTATTCAGTCGTATCTGACCCTTGGCGATTGCATGGACCATCACTTGTATGCAACATCTTCCATGAATTCTCTAAGCAATTATTTTACAGGGTAGGTTGCCAGGTCTTTCCCCAACCCCTACCATGCAGGAGATCCCGCATGGCCAGGGATGAAACTAGGACATTTTAGACAAGAGCCAATTAACCTACCAGCATGTCTTTGGAGTGTGGGAGGAAACCGGAGTAACCAGAGGAAACCCACGCAAGCACAGGGAGAACATGCAAACTCCATGCAGGAGGTGCCATGGTTGGGAATCGAACCCATGACCCATTTACTGCAAAGCAGATGTATAAATACAATTTTAAATAAATGTGCATCTAAAATAAGTATATAATTGATAATTGCAAGAAAAAACCCAAACATATTTTATATATATATATATATATATATATATATATATATATAAATCAAATTAAAAGAGAAAAGTAAATATATATATATAAAATATAAATATATAAAAATAAAAAAACATTTTATATATATATATATATATATATATATATATATATATATATATATATATATATATATATATATGTTTTTTTGTTTGCAAATGATCAATTATATACTTATTTTAGATGCACATTTATTTATAATTTTTTATATATATATATATATATATATATATATATTTTTTTTTTTGTTTTTAATTATTGTATATTTACTTTATATACAGTTTTCTTAAATTTGATTATATATATATATATCTTAAATTAAAAATGTGCTTATAAAATAAATCTATAATAATTAATATGTGACATATATGATATGACATAAAAGGTGTATGTGTGTGTGACGTAGTAGGTCGGGGGGGATGTCTCGGATGGCTGGTAGTTGTAGTGCTCGGTGATGAGGACATGTACTGGCGGTGATGACACGTTGCACATGTCGGATGGCTGGTAGTTGTAGTGCTCGGTGATGAGGACATGCACTGGGTTGATGACACGTTGCACATGTCGGATGGCTGGTAGTTGTAGTGCTCCGTGATGAGGACATGCACTGGCGGTGATGACACGTTGCACATGTCGGATGGCTGGTAGTTGTAGTGCTCCGTGATGAGGACATGCACTGGCGGTGATGACACGTTGCACATGTCGGATGGCTGGTAGTTTGTAGTGCTCCGTGATGAGGACATGCACTGGCGGTGATGACACGTTGCACATGTCGGATGGCTGGTAGTTGTAGTGCTCGGTGATGAGGACATGTACTGGCGGTGATGACACATTGCACATGTCGGTGTCGCTTCCTGTTCCTACTTCCGTTGCCTGGTGTATTTGGGTGTCAGTGTACAGAGGAAGTCCTCCGTGAGCACATCGCCGGTCCCCTCAGGTGTATGTAGTTGGGGATCAGCTCCGGGACGGTCCGATCCGCCATCACAGGACCCCGAGGGATGGACACCGTACAGATGCGGCACAACCCGCGGAGGTAAGAGCTGAGCGATGATCGGCGATCACACACGGATTGCTCTTCATCACAGCAAACACAGGCTGTGTGTGGGGGAGGGGTCGGCACTGTCACCCCTGAATTATAGGGGATCCCCTGTAGACTGCTGGACGGACAGATGTGTTATGGACCGGCTGAAGGGACCCTGTCAGTAGGTGAGAGCAGGGGGTGCGGACACTGTCACCACTGGACAGGAGAATTCCTGGAACTACCCAAATACTAATAATAACAGATGCATCCATATTACAGAACTGCATTTATTATGATGTACGCCTTGTATCCTGCTCAGTCAGAGAGTGGAGGGTGCAGTGCTGTGCTTCCTGCAGACCATTCCTCCTGGTCCATACCGAGGTCCTGGGAATGGAGGGTGCAGTGCTGTGCATCCCGCAGGCTATTCCTCTATCTCTGTACCGAGGTCCTGGGAATGGAGGGTGCAGTGCTGTGCGTCCCGCAGACCATTCCTCCTGGTCCATACCGAGGTCCTGGGAATGGAGGGTGCAGTGCTGTGCATCCCGCAGACTATTCCTCCATCTCTATATCAAGGTCCTGGGAATGGAGGGCGCAGTGCTGTGCGTCCCGCAGACTATTCTTCCATCTCTATATCAAGGTCCTGGGAATGGAGTGCGCAGTGCTGTGCATTCCGCAGACTATTCCTCCATCTCTATATCGAGGTCCTGGGATTGGAGGGCGCAGGGCTGTGCGCCCCGCAGACTATTCCTCCAGCTTCATACCAAGGTCCTGGGAATGGAGGGTGCAATGCTGTGCGTCCCGCAGACTATTCCTCCAGGTCCAAACCGAGGTAAACTATAAAGGATGAGGTTGTACCGAGTATATAGATACCAAACATGTCAAGGCTTAAAATGGTCTGTGAAGCAGCAACGAACTTTGGTATCCTAATTTTCCATAGGCAACAGTTGCAGGGACTAAAAGTCCCTACAGCTCATTGGCTTAGAGCAGTGGTCTCCAAACTTTCTAAACAAAGGGCCAGTTCAGACTTTAGGGGGGCCAGATTGTGACTATTGGAAGAAGAAAATGCCCGACATCAGTGGGAGTAAACAATGCCCCTTCTTTGATGCCTGTGAGAGGAATTGACCCCCTTTGGTGTCATTGGGTGGGAAGAAACATGCCCCATCCTTGGTGTCATTGGGAGGAACTGTGCCCCATCCTTGGTGTCATTGGGAGGAACTGTGCCCCATCCTTGGTGTCATTGGGAGGAACTGTGCCCCATCCTTGGTGTCATTGGGAGGAACTGTGCCCCATCCTTGGTGCCATTGGGAGGAACTGTGCCCCATCCTTGGAGCCATTGGGAGGAACTGTGCCCCATCCTTGGAGCCATTGGGAGGAACTGTGCCCCATCCTTGGAGCCATTGGGAGGAACTGTGCCCCATCCTTGGAGCCATTGGGAGGAACTGTGCCCCATCCTTGGAGCCATTGGGAGGAACTGTGCCCCATCCTTGGTGTCACTGGGAGGAACTGTGCCCCATCCTTGGTGTCACTGGGAAGAACTGTGCCCCATCCTTGGTGTCACTGGGAGAACTGTGCCCCATCCTTGGTGTCACTGGGAGGAACTGTGCCCCATCCTTGGTGTCACTGGGAGGAACTGTGCCCCATCCTTGGTGTCACTGGGAGGAACTGTGCCCCATCCTTGGTGTCACTGGAGGAACTGTGCCCCATCCTTGGTGTCACTGGGAGGAACTGTGCCCCATCCTTGGTGTCACTGGGAAGAACTGTGCCCCATCCTTGGTGTCACTGGGAGGAACTGTGCCCCATCCTTGGTGTCACTGGGAGGAACTGTGCCCCATCCTTGGTGTCACTGGGAGGAACTGTGCCCCATCCTTGGACCATACCTGGAACCGACATGTATTGTATGGCCTTTCAACTGGCATTATTAAGCATGCGTTTTGGGGGGCATCCAGTTTGTTTCTAATGAGCACCCAATGCAGGTCAACACATACATAATGAAGAGATAGGTCAGGTAGGTTTTCTCTTCCCCCTCCAGACCACTCATATTTTTAGGTGCCTTGTTGCATTTTCCTGTTGACCACCAATGTAAGAGGGATCTTTCACCCGCTGACCACCAAAGGGATTCATACTCCTTGTGATAACCAGTGTAAGGGGGATTCTTCCTTCCGCTGACCACCAATGAAAGTGGGTTCTTCCTCTCACTGACAACCAGTGTAAGTGGGGCTTCTTCCTCCCACTGACAACCAATATAAGTGGGGTTCTTCTTCTTGCGGACCACAAATGTAACAGGGACACTTCTTCCTACTGACCTTCAATGTTTGAGGGATTCTTCCTTATATTGACCACCAATGTAAGCAGGATACTTCCTTCTGCTAATCACCAAAGTAAGAAGACCCTACCTCCTGCTCCCCACCAACTTATGAAGGATCCTTTCTCCTGCTCTTCACCAATATAAGGGGGATCGTTCTTCCTGATCTCCACCAAAGTGAAGGAGATGCTTCCTTCCGCTAATCACCAATGTAAGGGCGATTCTTCCTCCTCTTAGCAACCAATGTAAGGGCGATTCTTCCTCCTCTTAGCAACCAATGTAAGGGCGATTCTTCCTCCTCTTAGCAACCAATGTAAGGGCGATTCTTCCTCCTCTTAGTAACCAATGTAAAGGCGATTCTTCCTCCTCTTAGCAACCAATGTAAGCAGGATACTTTCTCCTGCTAATTGCCAATTTAAGGGGGATTTTTCCTTTCATTGAGCATCAATGGAACCATCAACGTTGACCATTGTAAAGGGCGATTTTTCTTCTCACTGTCCTGCTAATTGCCAATGTAAAGGGGATTCTTTCTATTGCCATTGTAGAGCGATTCTACCTTTCGCTGACCACTAATATAACAGGGATACTTCCTTCCACTGACCACTATTGTAAAGGGCATATTCCTCACCACCAATTAGGAAGCTTTCTTTCACAATGGCTTTGTTCCCACTAATCGACTCTGATAATTTTAGCTTCCTCTCTGCATTTGTTTCACTAACCAGCTAGGTAAAAATGTTACTTTACTTTGGTGATGAAAGGCATGCTTCCTTTTAGGCCGGATTCACACCTTTGCATTTAATACATACTTCCACTTACATAAAAACAAAAAAAAAAAAACACATGAAGACACGTTGTCCCATGCATTGTTAACCTACATTTCCAAATGCATTGTGACGTGCATTAATGCTTTGTAACACACTTTATTTCAGTGGAAACCCATTTGCCTAACAAATTTGAACCATTGGCAGTGACAGTTAGCACTCAGGTACAGTGGCAGTCAGAGCAGTGGCAGTTAGCACTCAGGTACAGTGGCAGTCATTGCAGTGACAGTGAGCACTCAGGTGCGATGGCAGTCAGGGTAGTGGCAGTTAGCATTCGGGTACGGTGGCAGTCAGGGTAGTGGCAGTTAGCACTCAGGTACGGTGGCAGTCAGTGCAGTGACAGTCAGCACTCGGGTACAGTGACAGTCAGCACTTGGGCACAGTGGCAGCTAGAGCAGTGGCAGTTACCACTCAGGTACGGTGGCAGTCAGTTCTGTGGCAATCAGTGCAGTGACAGCACTCGGGTACAGTGGCAATCAGTGCAGTAACATCAGCACTCGAGTACAGTGGCAGTCAGGGTAGTGGCAGTTAGTACTTGGGTATGATGGCAGTCAGTGCAGTGACAGTCAGCACTTAGCGGGTACAGTGGCAATCAGTTTAGTGACAGCACTCGGGTACAGTGGCAGTCAGTGCAGTAACAGGACTCAGGTACAGTGGCAGTCAGTGCAGTAACAGCACTCGAGTACAGTGGCAGTCAGAGTAGTGGCAGTTAGCACTCGAGTATGATGGCAGTCAGTGCCGTGACAGTCAGCACTTAGCGGGTACAGTGGCAATCAGTGCAGTGACAGTCAGCACTTAGGTACAGTGTCAGTCAAGGCAGTGGCAGTTAGCACTCGGGTACAGTGGCAGTCAGTCCAGTGACAGTCAGCACTCGGGTACAGTGGCAGTCAGTGCAGTGACAGTCAGCACTCGGGTACAGTGTCAGTCAAGGCAGTTAGCACTTGGATACAATGGCAGTCAGTCCAGTGACAGGCAGCACTTGGGTACAGTGGCAGTCAATAAAGAAGTGCATGGATGTTGCGCCTCTGATTATAACTCCGAGAGGGGCGGTGTTGCTAGTTCTCGCTTTCACTTCCTGGGCTTTTGTTTTTAAATAACTATTGAATTGCAGTAGAAACTGTAAGCCTCAATGGACTGCAGAACAGCAGAAACTGCAGTGGGGGCATCCGTTTTGTTTTTCGTGTGTTGTTTTTTTTTTTTTTTTTTTTACACGCATAACTGAAATATATGAGTTTTGGGGGACTGACCTTTTACATTTTTGTTTTCCGTGTGCCATGATATACAGTATATTTTTGACCTATTAATGTCATTAAATGATTGCATTTGAGAAAATCATTTACACATTCCAAATTATGCTGACAATACATTGTGTGAATGTTCTCTTCAATTATCAAATCATGTGCAGTGATCAGGGATATTCTTTTCACATGATTGACTAATTGAAGTAAATCTTCAGCACAAATTATTGTGCAAGCATTCTCAAATTCTTTACTACATCAGCCTCCTTTTTTCTATACGTAGGTAAGCTCTGCTTCCTGCTAATCATGCCTTACTCTACTGACCTGGCCTGTCTGATTGAAAAAAAGCATTCTCTAATGATATCAAACACCAACATTGCAACTGATACCAGAGACCAAATTATCTGACATGGAGCTTAGGGCTCGTTCACACTTGACTAATTATTAACTCTTGCCAAACGCCCCTATAGCGTTTGACAGGCGTTAGATAGGCGTTTTTAACGCTCCCCAAATGCCCTATGCGCGTTTTTGCGGCGTATTAATAGGTGTTTTCCAAGCATTAAATCCACACCACAAATGCCTATAATTAAGTTTAATGGTATTAACGCTCCTCAAAGGCCTCGCAAGCGCACCGCAAATGCCTGCCAGGCG